GGTGGAGGCCTGGCTCCCCACAAGCCTCTCCGCAGTGTCAGAGGAGCACACACAGGGCCCTCCACACCCCACCAGTGAATCCTCCGACTGTCCCACACAGGCTGCCCGGGACATCTTCCAGGCACTACTTCTGAATTACCAAATCCCAAAAGAAGTTCAGAAGTCTCTGCGCAAATCAACGGAACCAGGACGGGGGAGGAGATACTGCTTGAAAGTTCTCCTGTTGTTCGAGGACTAGTCAAACCAATACCACCTGACACGCAGCACCTCGCTCACACCGCACAATCCCGTGGTGGGTGGTGGGGCGGGAACTGATATGCACCCCAACAACCGTGTGTCACCCCTGGGGCCCGGGCCAGGCAGCCTAAATGTGGCAAAGCCACACTGGCTGCCTCTAAAGCCCAGGCTCCTCAGTGCTCATCTCTTGACCTGCCACCGAGAAGCAGCATTTCCAGAGGACAGAGAAACACAACACTTGGAGGTGCAGCTTACACAAAGATGTCTTAAAGTGGACTCAAATGCAGGGGGCAGCCCAGGTGGCTCAGCGGTTTAGTGCCTCCTTCAGCCCAGAGCCTGATCCTGGAGACCCGGGGATCGAGTCCCAAGTCGGGCTCCCTGCATGGGGCCTGCTTCTCCCTCTGCCTGTGTCTCTGCCTCTCTCTCTGTCTCTCATGAATAAATAAATAAAGTCTTAAAAAAAAAAAAAGTGGATTCAAATGCAGGGCTGATACCAAGCAAAATCCCATAGAAAGAGTGCCCTATGGATAGAGCAGGGATTGGCAAACGTTTTTGGTGAAGGATCAGACAGGAAACATTTTAGGCTTGACAAGTCTCTGTGGCAACGACTCGGCTCTTGCCGTTGTGGCACAAAAACAGCCGCAGACAACAGAGGGGCACCGAGGGTTCCAAACACTTTATCGATAACAACAGGAGGCTCCAGCCCCAGGCGAGCTTGCTGCCCAGGCATTAGATGATGGGAGTCCTGCAAAACTGTTGAGCCAAGGAGGGATGTGACCTGATCCATGAGTATTTTAGACGGAATTTTTTTTTAAGATTTTATTTATTCATAAGAGACACACAGAAAGGAAGAGACAGAGGCAGAGGGAGAAGCAGGCTCCCTGCAGGGAGCCTGATGCGGGACTCGATTCCAGGACCCCGGGATCATGCCCTGAGTTCAACCACTGAGCCACCCAGGGCCCCTATTTTAGACTGAATTATGGGGACTTCTGAAAGAGGGTGTCAGCATATTTTAGATGTCCTCTAAAATCCTGGTTTTACCATGTTTCTCTGCTATTATAGTTGTTATAAACAACTGGAAGTGGTTTTGTTTCAATCAACGTTTATTTATACAAACTGACAGAGGTCTAAATTTGACCCACAGGTCACAGTTCGCTGAACCCTTCTGTTCTAGGACCTCAAGCCAGGGATTCTTTAAAAATCAGTAAAAGTCTGGGCAGCCTGGGTGGCTCAATGGTTTAGCACCGCCTTCAGCCCAGGGCCTGATCCTGGAGACCCGGGATTGAATCCCACATCGGGCTCCCCACGTGGGGCCTGCTTCTCCCTCTGCCTGTGACTCTGTCTCTCTGTCTCTCATGAATAAATAAAATCTTAAAAAAAAAATCAGTAAAAATCTGAAGTCAGGTACTATGATTCTTCAAATGCCTGCCCCCAGCTACAGAAGACATGCATGCATCATACTAAGAGCCTCTGATTATGCCAATATGTGGATGAGAGAAAGAAGTTTTTTTTTTTTCTTTCTTTGATCTAATAATGGGACTGACTCAGAGCAGACACAGATACCAGCCATATAGGATCAGCTCTTTACTCTCTTAGGGCAGGCATCTAGGCAGTGCTCTGTACATGGGCTGCATCTGTGGCAGAAAAAAAGATTGCAAACCAATGTCTCAGGCATCCTCATCCCCTCTGTGCCAGCCCAGATAAACCACTGAATATCCTGTGGTCTTTGCATCTCCTGATGTCAACCAACAGAGCAGCCTGGCTGCTGACATGCCTGCAACTGGTACCGATGGACTCCAGGGGAAGCATGCAATGTCAGAACGGCTCTCCAGCTTCCCATGACTGGCCCTGGACCACATCATCTCACTCAATCCCAGTTGCTGATGCCCAGAACCAAGAAATGGAGAAGGCCAGGCTGTCAAATTTTAAGTAACAAAAACTAGCTATCTGCTTGAGAATGTCTCTAAGAAGATGCTCTGTTTGCTGTCTCACTCTTAGCTCAACAGTCCTCCAAGGTGGGGAGGGGGGCATGTCTGGACACATTTTTGATGGTCACCACTAGGGCGGTGCCACTGGCATCTAGTGGGTACAGACACCAGAGATACTGCTCAACATCTTATAGTGTGTGACCAGTCCCCACAACAAAGAATTATCTAGCCCCAAATGCCAAGAGTTCCAATGTGACAAATCCTGTGTTTAGTGTTTTAGTGCACGGTCCAATTAAATTCCACCAACTCAGCTCCAAAGACACTCTGATTGACATGCAGGGCTGATGAGATGCAAGAGAAAAACAGCAGTGTGTGTGACATCTGCCAACAGGGCCTGTTTGGTTGTTTCTTTGGTGTTTTTCAGAAAAAGAATAATGACTTTGCTAAGGGTCACCTGTACACAGGAGGAAGCTAGAACCCATTTTTGTAGTTTCTCTAAGCTCCACACTCCTATGTGCATAAGCATATAAGGTGGCCAGAATTCTAACAGACTACTCTGGAGTTCTGGTAACCTTTTACAATACACCGAGTCTGCAAGATTGAAAGCTACGACCATATCACTGCCCCTGGGTAAGTAGAGGAAGCCTACCCTAGGAGATGTTCAGCAGTAAACAAGACATAACAAGACTTCAAACAACTAGGAAAATTTAAAGTCTATAAATTTACCATTTATGGGGTTTTCTTCTTCCCCATGAAAAGGTTTGACAGAAGGCGATCAATAGGAGGAAATTAGTAATGGACTACTCGCCTCTCCCCCAAAATATTTAACATGTGATGTACCGAACCAGAAACTTGAAAATGGCACCGATTTTATTTGTTATATTTACTTTTTGCACACAAGTGACACTAACAGTGACAGTTTGTGTTATTTATTCTTTCTGATGGTTTATCTATGATATTCAGGAAATATTATAGAAGACTGAAGCCAATGAGTAATTTTACATCCTCTGAAAATCTACCTAGCTGTTTTTCAGTGTGGGTTCTCAAAATGGAGTCTCTCAGTTTGTAATCCATCAGATCACAAAAGGGGGCATTTATTTAGACATGTTGAAAGCCATTGCCTACAGACACTGCCAAATCAAAGAGATTAAAAGCAGACAGTGTGATCATTCCAACAGTAGGCAGTGAAAAAGAATTTCCACATTGTAGGCTAAAAGCAACCATTTTCAGGGCACCTGCATGGCTCTGTTGTTTAAACGTCTGACTCTTGGTTTCAGTTCAGGTCATGATCTCAGAGTCATTAGATCGAGTCCTGCCTTAGACTCTGCGCTGGGCCTGAGGCCTGCTTAAGATTCTCTCTCTCCCTCCCCTCTGCTCCTTCCCCCAATTCCACCTCTCTCTTTAAAAACAAACAACCCAAAAAACAAAACAATCATTTTCTCCTTACCAAAAATATATGTATGAAATTTACAAGTAACCAAATTTCCTGGATCCTTTTGAAAAGAAAAAAATTATGTAAAATTAAGTATGATTTCGTGCATTTGAACTCAAGCTTCAAACTGCTGCTCTGTACATTTTCAGGAAAACGCCATACACTGAATTCCATACACTTCAGAGCCCAGGATTGATGTGTCACAAAGGAGAGCTCCAACACTGTCCACCTCGGCCAACCCCATTCTTGCATCTCATTTATAGGATACCCCAGAGTCCCAAACCCTGTGGCCACTAAGGTCTCTGTTCAGTGACTAGATTTGTCCATGAGCAACAAGACAGGCCAGGTCATCTTCTGTGGATTAAGTCCACTCCTATACTCGGTGATCACAGCAGAGCTGGGAGTTGGGTTCCCCATCACACGGTATGATCCAAATTTCATTTACAATCTTTGTTTTCTATTTGAGCGTCTATGCCTTTTAAAGTATTTTGCATATATATGTATATTTTTGAGTGTATATATAAAATACCACAAAGATATACACTGAGATGTTCATTATGGTTATTTCCTAGAGTGGATTTATATGTGATCTTCTTTATTCTTGGGTTTTGGTTTTTTTTGCACATTTAGGGCTTCCAGCTTTTTTTATATTAAGCATAACTTTTGCCAAAAGAAAAATAAGTAATATTCTGTATGCAATTTTTTTTTTTCCCACTCAACCTCATTTCTAAAAGTTTTAGGTACTGACACAAAAAACAACGTGTACTATAAGACTTTTTTCAAAGTCGGGGCAGTTAGAGATAAGGGCAAAAAACAAGAACAGTCAACTCTCAAGAAGCCAAAGATGAAAGCTGTTAGCCAGCACAAAAGCCCTAGTGTCCTACATGCTGGCCGGAGGAGGCACACACTTGGCTTTGGGTTTCTCCCCACCCTCCTTACCTCACCCTGCCCACCCGCCACCCCCAAGTCCTCATTCCTCTCCACAGTCCTCCCCACCCTTCTTACCTCACCCCCACCCAATCTTAATTAAGTTTTGTTTAGGGAAAGAGAACGAGAATATTTTTCTACATTCCCTGATCCTACTCCCAGATGAGATCATGCAATCCAGACATGTGTTGAAGGAGAAGAACTAGCTACAAACACAACCAACAGAGTGCTAACTGTGCTGCCGGCTGCTCCCAGTGCTGACCATCAGTCAGTATGCACAAGAACTCAGAGTGTCCCAAAGGGCATGGCTTTAGGTTTCTAGAAGGGTCCCTCTGTGTGCAACTCGCTGCTGCAAAGGCAGTGGCAAGAGTTGCACTCTATCTGTGATAAAACTGAGGCCGTGAGCCTCTGGAGTCCTTTGGAGGCAGAGGCACACTGGACCAAGGAGCCCCAAGCCCTGGGAGCACAGCACTTACCGTAGGCTGTCATGACACCAGCGTATGGCCCATCCACCACATTCCGGTTCTCTTCCGCCAGTGCCTTGATGTACCTCTTGCTGAGATCCAGGATCTGCTCACGCAGCATGGAGCTGCTCTCGGGCTGAGTTCGCTGCTGGATGGTAAAATGCAGGAGCATCATGCCCCAGATAAAGCCAAAAGTCACGAGGAAAAAGCCCAGCTTCTGAGAGGACAGCTTCCATGGAGTAAAGAGAGCCATCGCTCTCTGGCAACTTCACCTGCCCTTGGCTCTTAAAATGCAGAAGGAAGACACAAGTTCATGATGCAGGCTGGGTCTGCGGGCTCACCGGTCTCACTCTGGCTCCTGCGTCAGCTGATTTCCTTTCCCCGTTTCCATTCTGCTGTGAAGAGAGGGGCAGGTTAGCAAAGTGGTCGTGGCAAAGCACAGGGAAACCCACCGGGAGCCATGTGTTCACTCCCAATAGCTCCAAAACGCGGACTTCCTTTTTTTCTTAATTTGCTGGTTCAATATCTTTATGTTATGATTCCAGATCTGTAAGCTGAGAGGGGAAATCTGGCTGGGCGACAAAGAGCTGCACAAATACAGAGGAGGAAATGCGTGTCTGACTATGTTAACAGGTGTAGCAGGGTTGTTCCAGTCTGGACCAAGTTCAAAACAGGAAGCTTGTTTTGCAAGGTGGGGAGGAGATGGAAGGATATTTCACCGAATGTCAGCAAAAACCCAAGTGGAGGGTGGAGTCATAGCACCACCGGGCACTTCTGGGCATCTGGAACTCGAGCTTACAAAGTCATGACTGTGTGCTCTGACTAGGATTCAAGCACACAACTGCAGAATGTGGGTGCCTCTGCAGAGGTCAGTAGACCAGGAAAGGGGAGCAAGCCCCCGTATTATGTAAGCATGGCCCGCTTGCATCAGCAGTGTCTGGAGAGAGATGAAGTGAAGCTCTCGGGGCCACCAGGTGGCCTCTCCCCTGGCACCAGAGCAGAGGCTATGCCAGGGGTACCCCCATGGTCTTCCTGTTCTAGCTACCACGAGTGAAAGAGGCACCTCACCACTCATTTGCACACTTCAGCACAGGAAATGTAGAGCACATGACAGCCTCCTTTCCTGTAGGTTCTCACTTTCACTCACAACCATGGGGCAAAATGTGAGTTTAAAAGGCACGGTTTCGGGCAGCCTGGGTGGCTCAGTGGTTTAGCACCTGCCTTCGGCCCAGGGCGTGATCCTGGAGTCCCGGGATCGAGTCCCACGTTGGGCTTCCTGCATGGAGTCTGCTTCTCCCTCTGTCTCTCTCTCTCTCTCTCTCTCTCTCTCTCTCTCTGTGTGTGTGTGTGTGTATGTGTGTGTCTCTCTCATGAATAAATAAATTTAAAAATCTTTAAAAAATAAAAAATAAATAAAAATAAATAAAATGGTTTCAATACTCAATAGCCAGATCCTATTTGGTGTTGGATACCAAGCCCACAAGACTTTGCCAAGCAAGTCTTCCCAGAATATGAGGCTGAAGCAGAGGTTGCAAACAGATTAGAAGGAGGCCAAACTCTCCAGCCCTTGAACCAGAGTCTTGGGCCCAAGAACGAGCCAGCTTACAGACTGTCACCATTTTCTAAGTGTGCCAAGGGAAAAGCTGAGCAATGATCTCCTATGCGGCACTAACTCAGGATGCATTCAGTGTACATATGTTTCAATTCAAAGTATTCTTTGTAAACAGGCTAAGAAGGAATGAAGGGTGAGATTGTGGAGCAATCAGCTTCCAGAATCTGTAATGTGGCAGATCTGCGTTGGTCATTCTGTATCCTCACCTATGAACGGTTATCAGTAGTTGGTAGGACAGCTCCTAATAGTAAATGATAAATAAATTCTAGGTATGTCCCAGGCATTGTGATAAATGCTTTTAGTGCCCGCACTCACTGAATTCTCAAGAGAGTCCTATACAGTCCGAACTACTATTGTTGTTCTGCTTTATAGATGAAAAACAAAGGCCCAGAGAGACTAACTTGCCCAAGGTCAACCAGCTATGTGGCAGAGGGACAATCTCGGGACAGCCTAGGACCCCATGCACTGCCTTCCCTCGCCACCCCTCTGTCCCCACTAGCCTGCTTATCTATGGCCAACATCTGCTTGTACATGTTTAAAAGGCTGTCGGAAGTTGCAAAGAAGAAACTGTGATAGAAATCCTATGGAGCGCAAAGCCCTAAAACATTTACTTATTGGCCTTTAACAGAAAAAGATTACCAACTCCTGAGTTCCAGACCAGTGGCTCTTCAAAGCACAGTCCTGAACTCCACAGCAGCAGAAACACCAGTGGGACGTGCAGATTCTCAGGCCCCAGACCTACTTCATCAGCAACTTTGGGGGGAAAGGGGCAGCAACCTGTGTTTCAACAAGCCCTCCAGGCGCTTCTGAGGGCTACTCCACTCTGAGCGCCTCTAATCCAGGCAGATGGATGTCGTTACCCTGCCATACCACTGCACTAACCATACAGCATGGCTCCGACTCCCTCTCGTAATACCGTGTCACTTAAATTCCTCGGTCCTGGCCACACCTTCCACACCTGCTGGTCAGCTACCACTGTAACCCTGCACATCCTTCTTCAGGGTCTCCTCGTGTTCACTCACGCTGCTTTCCCTATCTGGCTGGCCCTCTGCACAACACACCAATAAACCAAACCCAAGCCCCAGCTCCAGTCACACTGGCTTTAGACCGCTTTCCCTACTGTTCCAGCCTACGACATCCCTTGCCAGTTGGCAGTTTAAAACACTTGTCTGTCTATATAGGTTGCTTGCCAGTTTCTGTATGGGATCCCATGACATCTTTTAAGGGACCCTCCCCCCACCACCATGTACATTCTCAGAGAAGGGCAGTGGCCGCAGGGGCACCTGATGACCAAGCAAGCTCATCCTCCAGACACTAGGGCACTGTATCCGGCCCTTCCAAATGAAGGCTGGCTCAGCAACACCTGCCCTTCTTCTTTTATTTTTTAAAGATTCTATTTGTTTATTCATGAGAGGCACACATGGAGAGGCAGAGACACAGGCTGAGAGAGGAGCAGGTTCCCTGGGTGGAGCCTAATGTGGGACTCGATCCCAGGACCCCAGGATCATGCCCTGAGCCAAAGGCAGTGGCTCAACCACTGAGCCAACCAGAAGCCCCTGCCATCTTTCTTTCCTCCACTCACTCTATAACATATACTGAGTACTTGCTGCCATCGGGCCCTAGGGACTGAACAAACAACAAGACTGAGATCCCAGCCTCATGGGGCTGATGCTTCAAAGCCACTTCTCTTCACTGAGGGCTGCCCCAGGTCCTTAGGAAGCGGCTGTGCTTCCTGTTTGATAACCCACACCAGTGAGTCAACTGTACCAGAGGGCTAAAGGGATTTTCCCAAGGCAACTAAACTACACGCTATACTAAAAATGACAGTCATCTGGCAATTTGCTTTTGCTATTTTAGAGGAGGACCCCAAATGCATACAGGAATTATTACCTGTTAACTTTCAGACAGGGAACTCCACTCCCTTCATCAATGAACCCCCTGAAGAAGCTGCTCAAGGCTACAAAGCGAGGGCAAGGCCAAGTCCAAGAACAGGGCAAGGACCTCAGCAGAAGGTAGTGTGTTTCTCTGCCTTGGGGGACAGTCAGAACCAGTGGCACATCTGAGCAGCAAAAAGATGGTTGAGAAACCCAGCCAACGTTAAACTGTACCAGCTCAGAGACATACAAATTTGGAGTGAAAAAAATCCCTACTTCCAAGTTCAGAGAACAGTTCTGAGTACTGAGGGCCCAGATCTTAAGTAACCACAGAACTGCCAGGAATATTCTTTTCTCCAATGGAATCTACAGTATGAAATATCAGCAACTATCTCAGCATACCCCCAGCACACACAGAGAACTGAATTAAAACTCCTCAATCCTTACCAGCTCAGAATCTTAAAAAACTTCTCAAAATCAGTACCTGGGAAACACCCCTAACTCCCACAGTAACAGGGCGGGGGGCGGGAGGGCAAGGGGACAGCAATCCTCACCAGATGGTGCCAGGGCCATGAAAGGACGTAATGATCATCAGCAGCGACGGTTGCAAAATTCATCAAGAGGCTGCAGAACAGTCATGATCAAACAGCGGTGGATCTGGCTAAGAATCTGCCTGCCTCCAGACGTCCTAACTTAGCTGGATCCTCTTGCAAAATGGAGCCAAAAGGCACAAAGACACAGTCTATCTCAGGCCCTGTTGCCAACCAGAACAATGCCAGCCCAAGGCCACGACCCAGTCTGTGCTCCAGAAAGAAGTCTGTACCAAGTCTGTTTGCAATGAACTAAGCTTCTAGGTCCATCACTGCCACTAACCATCCTGATATGCACCTCCTCTACTCCCGTACTTCCTAAAAGAGCAGCATTCACTTCCTTCCTCCCCATTCACTCCACACAATAAAATCTGGCTTCCTCCTTTCCCGAAACAGATCGAAGATCTTTGGCACAGAAACGTGTGGGTTCTCATTTAAAAAGTAAAAGCGAATGAAAACATGTGCAACATCATTAGCCATTAGGGAAACGCAAATTAAAACCACCATGAGATACTAGCTTGTATCCACTAGGATGGTTACACTCAAAAAAGGGAGCTCAGAACAAGTGTTGGTGAGGATGCACCGAAATTGCAACCTTTATAATATGGCGAGTGGAAATGTACAACAATGTAGCTGCTATGGAAAATAGGCTGGCGGTTCCTCAAATGGTTAACCACAGAGCTGCCATGTGACCCAGGCAACTCCACTCCTAAAATTCTCCCCAGAGAAATGAAAGTATATGCCCACACAAAAACTTGTACATAAATGTTCATAGCAACCTTGCTCATAATAAACGACTCAAATGTCCATCAACTGACAAACAGATGAGAAAAACACATACAGTGGAATACTACTCAACCAATGAGATTAAGTTAGGTTCTGTTATGTGCTACAACATAGAGGTTCCCTAAAAACATTCTGCAAAGTGAAAAAAGGCAGTCAGAAAAAAAAAAAACCTACATATTGTATCAGTTTATTTTTATGAAATGTCTAGAGGAGGCAAATCTAGAGACGCAAAAAGTACAACAGTCACTGTTCTGGGCTTGTGAAAATAGGGGAGTTGGGACGGGACAGCCCAGCATGCAGGATTTTGGGGGAATAATGAAAACGTTCCAGAATTAATTGTGATGGATGCACAATTGTGTAGATATATTAAAAACACTGAATTATACACTTTATACGAGAGAATTACAGGATATATGAATCATAGCTCAATAAAGCTGTTACTGAAAAAAGAAAAAAGAGGGAAGCCCACCTTCAGAGTTGGGGGTATGAAGAGGAGTTGTATGTGGAGACAGGCAGATGAGCCTCACAGGCCA